GCATTTATGAATGTCGGCCTATTGCCTTCATTCATAATCATTAATTTATTGCTATATATAAATTCAAGTAGGCACTCACCTCTTTTGTTTATATTGCTGCTTCCCCAGACGGTGTGGTGGGCATTGGCATCACTTCCTATTATAAGTTGGAAGTTCCTCCTTCCACAAAAGTCCACTAGATCCTTCAGTTGCTCGTCCGGGTGGGCACAGTCCCCCGGGAGGTAGGATGAGCAAACAATGAACTCTGTCCAGCCCCCGCAGGACTTCACCTTCACCAACGCAGCTACCTGATCCTTAGAACAGTAATCTGGAATGGGAAAATACGTTAGCTTTTTACTAAACAAGATGCAAGCCCTAGGCCTGCCCCCAGTTGTATTATCATACAATAGCTCACCTGTTAGGCCCTTAACCTGATCCTTCACTATGTAAGGCTCTTGGATAAGGGCGATATCGAGGTGATCCTTCATAAATCTATGAGCCAGAACATCAGTAGATGCCCTAGCATGCTGTAGATTTATTTGGATGCACCTCACAGCCATATTATTTCCTCCGGCTCTTGTCTATGGGCTTTGGCCCTTTAGACAAAGGCTTTACATGAGCCTTACCTCCCATTTTCGCCTTTTTACACATCTTGGTGGGCGCCTGCCCTGCCACAGCCTCTTTTGCCGCCCCAGGTGCCACGCTAGCCCCTGCAACAGCAAATACCGAAGCATTTCCGGGCTTCCCAATGGGCTTGAGCCCTTTTGGTTCCCCCGGGACGCTTGTATTTGGCGTGCTGGTCGATGGTCCTTCCGTTTCCCTTGCCGCCATTTTCGGAGCGACTTCAGGCTTTCCAATGAGTTTTGGCTCTTTTGGTTGGCCTGAAGTGCTCGTCGTTGTCGTTGTCGCGGTGGGCACTGGTTTTTTATTTTGTCCTGCCCTGCCGCCAGCACCTTGAGAGGATTTCCTTCCTTTAACCCGAACGGTAACACGGAAGAAATTCAGGAAAAGTCGGAACTCCGCTTTCCGTAGATCTTCCAATCCGGAATCATCCACGGAAAAGGTGATGGAGCAGCCCCCGTCCTTTTCCTTATCCATCCTCAGCACCCTCCAGGAACTTATCTTGAGGCTGGGATTTTGCTTCCCTATCCTACTTAGAAATTTGTCCCTGGAGAGACTGACGGTTGTCTCGTCCTTTGGTACGTAGGTGACGCAGACATGCTGTTTGGGCATGCTGTCGCCATCCAGTACCACGACATCGCAACCGTCCCAAGGCTTTATCTTCCTGCAGACACTGGTTATCCACTCCCTGGTGTCTTGATTGTTGCATGTTACGGATATCCATCCGTCCCTTTGCAACGCTGCAGTGAATTGTGGATGAGAGTCCACAATCCTATCCATTTCATCCATGATGGCTACTTTGATTTTCCCCATCTGGACTTCGGATAGCCTTTCCTCTGGATGCAGTCTATGAGTGATGGCCACCTTGACCTGTGCTACTGCATCCCGATAAGAAGTCATTTTCGGGTTTTGTTGAGGAATGTTCCCAGGGACCTTTTCCTCAACATTGCCCTTCATCGACCTCTTCTTTGAGGGCCCTGCATCAGGGGTGTTGCTTTCCGACCTTTCCCTCTTTTGGGGATGGTCGGCCACAACAACCGATCCGCAGGCCTTCAGCTTTTCCAGCCTTTCCTTCTCGTATCTGCGAGCTTCCTCTGGGGACATGCCATCCCTGATATAAGCCGCGATACGCCGCTTGGATGCACCAGAGAAATATTGTTTTTTTCCCCTGATGTCCAACCTTTTCAGGTCCTCCTCAGTTTTTTGGATAATAGGTCCAAGAGGATCCTGATTATCCGTCTCCATCGGAGGCGAAGCCTTTTCCTCCACTGGCGTGAGTAGGAGTTCCTCCTCTGCGTCAGTTGAGAGAAGCTCTGGTTCCGAAGACCCTTGAGCACTAAGTGGTTGTATGTTGTCCTTAGTGTCGTTGTTGTTGTTGTCACTGTTGTTATTTGTCTTGTTGTTGTTGTTGTTGTTTTCCATTTCTGTCCCACGAGTAGCGCGGGAAAGTAAAGTCACCCATGGCAGAGCCCGGCATACCATGGGAAGGCTCATTCAAACTGGAGGGCGCCTGGTATCCAGAGTCCGCATACTAACGACTAAGCTCCCCCTTAGCCACGCAGTCATCGGCATATGCTGTTCCACCTTGACTTGGGACGCCTGTCGTCAGCTGACGCATAGATATAGGGCTGAAACTCACAAAGCAAGAGGCTCGCCGCGAGACATGACCACGACACGAACGTAACTTTGATCGTTTCAATCACCCCTTTATCCTCCGCCATTACCGGGGCCCACCACTAGGAGGTGACAGTGCGGTTTTGGGCCCCAACTTTTGGACCACATACTTTTATAACATTGTATGTTAAGTGTTCCATAAACGAATCAAAAATGTCATCGAATTGATGGTTTTGTTTGATTGATTTGGATTTAAATTTTTTCAATTAATTTGATGTTTTTCGCTTCTTTAAAATTGTAAATGATCGTTTAAACATTTTGTTTTGATTAAAAAATGTATCATATTATTCGTTTACTATTGTGTCAGTATGTTAATTATTAGTTGGCAGAACTATTAGAAAGTTAGTTTAACAATAACAATTGTAACAATTTTATTCCGTTTTAGAACTTTATATTTATCAATTGATAACAATGCAGTCTTATTGATATCTTGATTCGAGGATCTACCTAAATAAAAGCGTGATGTTTATGTCGAAATGTTCTCATACCCGTATATTTTAGGAGATCTACCTAAGTTGTCGTGTACTATAATTTTTGTAATTGAAACAAGCAAATATTATTCCCGTACATTTTAAATTTAGTGACCCGCTTGGACAACCTACTGGAATACTTGATTTTTGCTACGCGTAGGTACATTTTTCTTTTGTTTTTTTAATTGATTTGTTATCCTAATATCAAATCCCTCATTTTCAACTCACATATGCAAAGGACGAGCCTTTAATTTAACAATATAAACTTCTTTTGGAAAATAATTTTGAATTTACCAGATAAAATACCCAAATAAAATTACATATAACAAATTTTTGACAATAAATATCAAACCGTTCAATTCGGTTGCCATATGCATGTATATGCGTACCTACACATATCCTACGCAATATGCGCTATGCACCCATTAAAGCTTATTCTTTAAACTACAAAAGATGCTGCAAATGCAGTCCAAAATTTTTAGGACTTTTTAAAAACATCAAATTTCTAACAGATTTTTCAAAGTTTTTTTTTTATTGATATATAGAATTTGAAATAAATTTAAATAAAAACAAAGCAGCTTGAAATCAAAAATGTCGTAACATACAAAACTTGACTTTTATGATTGATAGAAGTCAATAAAATAAAATTGGTAAAATTAAAACAAAAAATTTAATGAAGTTCAATTAATTGATAAGTTTTTAGTATTTATCTAATATTTTTAATGAAAAACTTTTACACTTTAAGTAATTAATCAAAATTTTTTTAATTTAGTTGATTTAAAACTTATATAATAGGAATTTGAACCAAAAAAAAGAAAAAATAAAATGAAATAGAGAAAAACTTTTTATTAGAAAAAGCAAAATTGACTGGTTTGTATTAAAAAACAATAAAATTTACGATTAAAAATAGTGTGATGTGGTTACTTTTTTATATTGTTAAAAAGGTTAGTAACTTTTGTGTAAAAAAGTTCGAAAAACAATTTTTTTATTTAAATAACACTGTGTTAAAGTTGTCCAGGTACAAAAAAAAAACTTGCACGTATATTGCAACACTTTGTTCGCTTATAGTCAGTGAACAATATTTTAAAAAGATGAAAAACCCTAATAAGAAATGATCAATAATGTTGCAAAAATTTCGTAAAATAAAGTTTAAAAAAAAAAACTGTTCAGTACTAAAAAAGATGAGATTTAAAAAGGCCTTATAATATTATTTTGATTTTTTATTGGTTTTTTGTACAAAGAGTGAAAATTGTAGAAATAAATTGGTTTAAATTTGGTTTTGATATTTATGGTAAGAGATAAAGGATGATTTTTATATGTAATTCATTTTTTGAATTTTATTGAATTTTAAATTTTATGAGTTTTAAAATAATTTCAATGTCTTCTTACACGCCATAAAATACAGTTTTTGATTTAAAAGAAAATTGAAAATTAAATGAGAATGTTAAAAAATGTTAGGAATATCAAATTAGTGTTACGTAAATTTTTAAATAAAATTTAAAATATGAACTTTAAATTCATATTTTTATGAGATGACATTGAATCAAAATATTTTTTTTATATATAAGTAAATTAAATATTTCGTATTTTTTCTTTTCAACATTTTACACAAAAATCTTACGCGATTTTGTATAATTTACAAAAAATGTCTGAGATGTCAACTATTATTTATTACCGAAATGAGCAATATAATAATTTTTTATTTATTTTCCTTATTTTAATTTTTAATATCTTATTACCATAATTCAACAAGTACACGTAAATTAATCAATAAATATATACCATTAACGCTTTCTTGGTTGTAAAAAGCACATAATTTAATTGTGTTATAACAGTGGGACACAGAATTTTAAAATTTTTATAAATTGATTAACCCTGGTTAAACATTAAGTTTGTATAACATGAAAATTTCTTATTTAACTTATTTTTAATAATTTTTTAAAACTAGCTATTTATGAAATTTAAAATTTTTTTTTAAATTTTTGTGTACTTTTTATGTAAATTTTGTTTCATATATGTTTGTGCATATGTATGGAACATTCGACAAAATTGGACTTAATTTTAATTTTATTTTTTAAACGTCATAAATTTAATTTTCAAAAATTTCAATTTTTTTATGATTTTATATTGACAAATTTATTTTTTTTTAATTTCTTTTAAATTCAATTTAAATTATAAAAATTTTTGAAATTCGGACAGAAATTAAAAAAAAAGTTAAAAAATTTTTAAATTTCAAAATCGAATTTCATCACTAACCTTTTTTAATCCTTTATGAGTCTTATTTTTCACTTATAATCCAAAATAAATTTTTCAAATTGAAAAAATAATTACTTTTTTTCACTAAGTTTACAAAATTTTTTTCACTATATTCAAAAAAAAATCAATTATTTATCCTTTTATCTTTAATTTTAATTATCCTTTTCGATTTTAAATGACACTCTAGTAAATCCTTATTTTGCTTTCAAATATTCTTTAAAATTTTTAATCCTTTTAATTCTAAAAAGAAAAATTGTTAAAAAAGGAATTTTTTTTGTACTTTATTTTTTATTATTTTTGTTTTTTTTTTTTTCTTGTATTTTCCTTTTTAAATGAATTACAACCCGAACAACGAACGACTAGTTCTCATGTTACCATTCTTTGTTAATTTATACCTGTCCACAATGGATGCAAAAATAAAAATGTTTGTGTGTATAACAGTGAAAAACGAAATTTAAAATAAATACCGTCTATAAGAGACTAACAATAAATTCAACAAAAAAAAAAGAAAAAATAAAAAAGCACTTATAGCCCCCAAAAATAATCGTAATATTTTTTTTTTCTTTTTTCATTTTCTTTTTTTTTTATTTTCTTATTGTTGTTAAGTTATCACTTGCATTTTCATTTGAAACAAAACAACTAGAAAAATTCGCGTTTTAAAACTGTTAAAAGAGAGCATAAGCGAATTCGCATATTCTTTTTTTGTTTTGTATTGAAAGAAAAACGAGAGTAACAGTAATATTCCCCTTCTTACTTAACGGCGAATTTACGATATTATTAAGCCCGGTTTTTTCTTTCTGATTTCTCATAATTTTTCTTCTTTTTATTGTTGTAATGAGATGAGCGCGCCACTTTACGTTTTTATGAATTAAAAATTTATTTTTCGTTTTTCTTATTCTCTTAGAGTAAAAATTTGTTTTGATTTTGCATATTTGTTTTTTTTTATTTTCTTGCCATTTTACTATCAAAGGTAAACAGGTATGCGGAGAATTAAAACATTTTTAATAATAAAAACATTTTTTCTAGTCTGTTTTCAACATCAATTTTTTATTTTGAATTTTTGCGCTTTTTTAAAGATTTGCGCTATTAAAAATATAGGTATACATACATTATGTATATGTGTACGTATTTGTATTTTTTAAGTTTTATTAATTAAAAAGGTAGGTGTTTAAAATTTGTCCATTTTCACAATCGCACTATACAGAATATTTTTTTTCAAAATTTGTTATATTTTAATTTTACGTGCGTGTAATAATTTAGGTTTTTCTTTTTAATTCACAATAATATTGTTAATGAGATTTTCACATCTCTTTGTAGAAATATGGTAAAAAAATAATTTATGAAAAATTTTAATTAAATAAAAAAAAAGGTAAAGTGTTGAAATATGTTAGATAAAGATTGCTATTGAAGTTCAATGATGAAGAGCAGAAATCAGTTTTAAAAGTTCATCTTAAATGAAAATTAGTTTGGAGTCTCTGTAAAATTAAAATTTTGTTAGACTTATGATATGATGATAATTAAAAAAATTTAAATACTCAATGCATTATGCAGGTAGCATGGTAACAATAATTTACTCTTTTACTTTAATATTTATATAGTTATAATAAATTACAGTACTATACTATATAGTATATACAGTATATACGCAGAATAGTACAGTATATTTGAAAGTACAGTTTGCTTGAAAGGGTTGTTTTCAATGATACCTAGAAATTAATATTTTTTGCTCAATGGTTTGGTTCAGTGAGGCGGAGAAAAGATAAATCATTGAATGCGTTTGTAGGAGACACAATATATGTATAGCTTGAATGCAAATTGCCTGATTCTGAGTGTGTTTTTCATTTCAGTCCTAAAAATTGTAGAAAATTGCAAAATTACAATGTGAGTTAGAACAAAATACAATATTGATTACTACTAGTTATTGCATTCATGTTATAATACACTATTTAATTTAAATTTAACACTATTAGTTTAATCAGTTGTAATTTCAATTACAATTTATGGCATTATTATGTACGAGGTTTTTAAAACTGAAAAGTCCTGAGAAAATTTTATTTTAACTTTTTTTAAATATCTTGTATATGTGTAAAGTTTTGTTGTCTCATTATGGAATTAGCTACATATTTAAAATATTAGAAAAAAAAATATTTGACCTTTACGCCTTTTTTTTGTATCTTGTTAACATATGGGAAAATTTTAATTTAGATTTTTAACATAAAGAAAATTTAATTATTAAGTAATTTAAGTGATTGATTGTTAATCACGCGTAAAGAAAATATAACGAAATCAATAATCTTTAAATTGCATTAAATTTTTGAGGTCGAAAACTATAACATCACGCCAATTAAGTATATAAATATTATTACATAACATTTATAAGAAATGCTTAGAAGGATGCAATATTTAAGATCACAAATATTTTAGATAATAATTTTGGGTATTATAATATAAAAAATTAATACTAAAATTGAAATCATTAGAATATTAGGAGGATTTAGTATCGGATATTTGTATAATATACATGTTAAATACAATTTGTTATTATAAATCAAAAGTCTGTAAGTCTAATATGGTTCACAAAAAAGTGTTTCATGATTTTGAATTTTAAGCTGAACAATTTTACGTTGTAACTTTGTGGCATATTAAAAACCTGTACGAAAACGTTTTTTAACTCACACTCGTTTGCCTATGGCTCTTCAAGAGAGAGTTTTGCCTTTGAAAATAATAACTGTATGCATTTACATATACACATATTTATGAATACGAATTTCGTTTATTGCTGTAACATGCCTATTTATTTAGTTATAAGCTTACATTAATCATAATAGTATTGATTTTCATGTACGTGTTGACATTATCTATAATTACACTTAATCTAACGCTTAAACATCAATAATGTTACTAATTACTTTATAAAAGCACAAGAAGATAAAGTTACATCCCATATTCCGACCTACTACTGAGAGTTTAAATACTGAAGAAAAAATAATTTTCTTAGTGCCTTTTAACACAATCGAAAAAAATAAACTCTTTTTTTTTAATGAATTCTTCTGGTATTCAGTTTTACCCTAAGAAGATTAAAATTTTTCAAAATGAGAAAATACAAAACTAAATTTGTATCGATCACATTTAATCGATTTTTAACATAATAAAATCTGAATGAATTGTGCTTATGTACAAAAAGAAAACTATGAACTTTAATGCACGCACACTTATAAGACACTCTGAGACAAACGCTGTATTATCCAATATTAAAATGTACTACCAACCAATTTTTAAATTAGTGGTAAGTAATTAATGACTAAATCATTAAATATATGGAAACTTTTACTATTTAAAAACATTTACACAAAATGAGTATCTGAAAATATGTAAAAGTAAAATATCATGTTATCATACGCTACACACGTATACAACGTATTTAAAAAATTTTAAAAGGAAATTTGTTAAAAATTTTAATAAAGGTAGAAATCATTACCTTATTATTACTATTGGAAAAACCATTAAATAAAATGCCGAAAATTAAGAAAAAAGAAAACAACAGAAAATTTAATTGCGAAATTTTAATTGAAAGAATAAAATTTTTTACGTTTTTATTCGAAAATCAAAAAAAAAAATTCGACTGACTGTACAATTGAATTAAAAATTTTTTGCTTTTGATATAGAAGGGAAAAGTCAAATTTTTTGGAGAAAGTCGAACATTTTGTGTTATAAATAGATTAGATGATTTTTTTTTGTTATTTGAAAAGTGTGACTTGCAAATTTTACAAAGGAAGTTTTTAACTAATTTCTGTTTTTTGTTATTTTCTAGATTAATTCGAGGACAATAACCCACGTTTTTATTATGTACATGTACATGAAAAAATTTTTATCTCTATCCGAGTTAAAATTTTTTATTTTAAATTAAAAATCTAAATAAAATATAAAATTTACGTAAATATAAGACGTGCATAATACAGACTTGTATTAGAAATTGTATTAGACAATTTTTAATTAAGTAATTTTTATGCCATAAGTGACAAATTAACACATTTTGATTTTTGGTATTGAATAATTGCCATAAATGATAAAAATTTGAAATTATTTTTAGATTTCGTAAAATCATTAGGAGGTAGGCTTTTTTGTTTTAAATATTAATTATTTGCATATATTCCTTAATTAACACTTTTTTGAACTGAAGGTGTGAAAAGGAAATTTCCAAAATTTTAGATATTTTTTTACGAAATTTTTAATTTGAAAATTATTTTAAAATTTGCTTGTATGTGAGTTTTAATTTAATTCAGTATTAAACTAAATTTAGATGAGTTCGTTAGCCGGCTAATGGTTCGTATATGAAATAGCTATCAACAAAATTTCCAATTTTTTTATCTTATTCTTTGTTATACAATGTACAAATATTATTCTTTAATCTCTATCAATTTGTTCTTAAATTATATTTAAGCAACACGATAACACTGTTGCATAATAATTGTCTTTCTATATTACCACCAAAATCTTCTGGTGGATCTAATTGGACATTCGAATTTCAGTATGAGAGTAGGTATTTTAGTAAAGATTTATAACAGAAATATTAAATTTCATTAATATTTCTTTATAATAAATCAAATTGGAAATAATGATTTTTTTGATTTGTTTAAGTATACAGAGGTTTTCGATGGTCAGACGTTCAAATGAGTAAAGTTAAAACTTTTATGCCATTTATTTTTATTACTTAATAAAAAACTTGAAAAGCATGCTTTTTTTTAATGGATTAATCAAGTATAGTCTCGAGATAAAAGATAAATTTGCGTCAATAAAAGAATTAAATAATCGTATGTATATATTTGTAACAAACAAAAAAAACAACAAAACAACAATAAAGCTTGTAACTTGCAAATAAGTACGCAATGCGATGCATATAACGGCAAATGCTGTGCGTAAGTGAAGACAAGTAAAATAATAGTTAAAAACTTTTAGTGTAAAAAAGAAAATAGAAGAATTAGAAATATTATAATGAATGACTATTAAAAAATTTGTTGCATAATTATAAAAGACAACTTAATTTTTATGGTCAGTAGGTTAACAAGAGAGTTAAGTAAGAAATAAAATTAAAGCAAAGCACTTCATCTTCAAAACTATATGTAATAGCAATTTGAATTTTATAAACACAAAACGTCTGTTAAAATATG